AGACATTTAAATTTTTCTCTCAAATTTCTTAAGAAAATCAAGATTACATAGAATTATTAAATAAAAGTTGATTTTGTTGTTTTTATCCTGGGAGATTGATGTCATGCATTTTACTTAGAAAAAAATGTGCAGACATAGCTTTAATAAAGACAAGTTTAATTCCGATAAAATGGCACGGTGTCTAATTCGATCATATTTTAATCTAATCCAATTTACTCAAATCAGACAAAGTGAACCCCAACCCACTCCATACCCCACCAGTTAGCCATGCCCCCTGGTTGTACAAAKTCCTGCCATGGACTAAAGGTGTCCCAATTCTTAGTGGGAGATAGGTGAAGGGTGAAATGGTAGGATTATCTGGCCCAACAGAGAATTTTCAGTAAACTGATATAAATCAGAATATATTGTCCCAAAACCATAATTATGCTAGTTTGATGGCTTCTAATGCAATTTGTTTTGTTTTATGGTTGACTCTTTCTTCACAAGCATTAAAAAACAGCACTGCATGCTGATGCCTATTGCAAGCAAGATAATATTACACTGCATCATGTAGAGTACAAGTGTCCATAAGAGGAGTTGATCACAATGGTATAATAGCTTCTTGAAGKGTGCCTCACTTTGTTGTAGAATATTTATTTCTTTGTTCTTAAAACTTCCAATTATAGACCAGAGAGACAAGGGGTGACAATTGGAAATTAGATTCAACCTGGGTGTATTTATAAAACGTAAATGTGCAATAAAAAGCAACCCAGTGAACTGAATTTAAACTTTCAATGCCCCCATGTTGAGCCTAGACCAGGTTGTTTGTGTCAATGGAAAGGAATAATGCTTAAGAAAAAAAGGAGACCTCCAGCAGAATAAGACTCAGAAAGGGGCTGCCATCTGCCCCAACCTTTTAAAGTGAATAATTTGGCTTAAAATGTCACTGCCTGGTGTATTGTTGAGAGGCTTTTAAAGAACGTCATTTTGCTGGGGTTTTTAGGAAAGTGCCTACGAGAAAGAAAACACAAACTCTGTGGCTGGTTTGAAGGTTTTGCACTAAACTAAAGGACATGCTGCTTTGGTGGATGAGCTCCAAAATGCCAGTGAAGGCAGCGCTTCAACCAAGGCTCAGTGGAGCACAACAGCTAGATGATGAAAGGCTTTATTCATACAGAGTGACAACAAATAGATTATTTTCCAGCTACAGTTCTCTGAAGCTCTGCTTTAAGAACAAAGAACAAAACATTTTGAATGTCACTGTCCTGTATGACCCAAACTACCATGTAGACATATCCAAAATCTCACGGACAAGGCATGACCAACGAAACAAAAACTAAAGACAGCTTGCACACTTGAAAAGCTTTTTGTCCTGGCATTTCAGTTTTTGGCATCAGCTGGAGTGAAACACAGCTATTACATTTTTAGTTATTTGGTCCATTCAAAAAAGGCCAAATCAATGTGTTTCTCTTGCAGACAGTGAAGGCTCACAGGTTTAGGGTGAGACGCTGCCAACCGGAAGGGGGGCTGAAGAATGCACACTTGAAACAAAAAGCCTTTGGTTAGACAGCACCATCATCACAGCAGCTCAGCACCAGAAACAAGACACCAAACGACAGGTGCTGAGCTCTCAAATGAAACATGTCGAGCAAAAATGTATTTGCAATTAAAGATAAAGTAGCTGCAACTGATGTTTAATAATAACATTTACAATTCTGTTGACAAAACATGCATTAATTTATTTATTCTAAAGTCAACTAGACCAGGGGTTCTCAAGCCATTTGGGTCTGGGGACCTGAAAAAATTCCAGAGACCCTCTCATAAACCCCATGCTGTTTTAAAACATAATTTATTGTCATTTCAACCCCTAAACTAATATAATATATATTTTATCAAGATTATTATGTTTTTTTATTAGTTCATTGTTATCCATGCATTTTTCAAAAATAACAACCAAAAGTAACAATTTAATGAAATTTTTTGAGGACATCCAAGATACCTCTCGCGGACCCCTGGGGTTCCTAGGACCCTAGTTTGAGAACCTCTGAACTAGATAATCCAGATATTTTACCATAAATATAAATCTACAGTCAAAGTGTGGTCAAAAAGAAAAAGACAATAGGTGGATCTAAAGCTTAAGTGTCAGTGACTATATGGTCTAAAATGAATCTGATGAGTAGGTACAATGTGCTTTTATTATTTGATTACATTTGTTTGATCTTTAAAAATACAGAAAAAAATGTATTATTTATTATTCATACTCAATCAAGACATGAATTAAAAGTATTAAAATATCCCATAGCTGCAGCCAACAATAGGTAGGATGTTTATAACATTTCCTATAAAACCTCACTTAAAAAAAGTCCAAACTGTTACTTTAACTTGGCCCAGTTCACAGCTTGTAGAATTTTTCAATGTATTTTCTAAATATTTCAAGCTTTTAGTTGTTGGATACTGTTAAACATTTGTACTTCTATGAACTTGTAAGATTTTGCTATTTTAAAAAAGAAAAAAAAACATGTTCACTAATACAGCAAACCTTTTATCTGTTTTAAGCAGCTAGAATTCAGCTCATATTAGTACAAGATGAGAGACAGACCTAACAAGAGTCCTTTTTCTCCCTCTTGTCCAGATAGAAGAAGTGATAATATCCCATCATCATCATATCCMAACAAACGTGACAGTTTAGTCACTACTTCATTCATAACCCTTCTCTTAAATCCATCTATTCCTCACGAGAGACAAAAAAAAAGAAGAAAAAAACCATGACAAMTGCCTCCTCAGCCTCCAACCGTTTCATTAGTGTTTCAATTACCTGAGTGCTGACAGTTCGTGTCCCATCTGTGGCTTCCACTGTCAGGTTGTAATTTGATTTCTGTTCTGCGTCCAGGGGCCGCGCTACAATCAAGGTTCCACTGGCCTTGCCTACGTCAAAGCGGCTGTCGTAATTACCACCTGCAATTTTTTTTTWAAACAAACACGTAAAAAGACAAGATTAAAGACAAATCGTCACATCGTTGCACGCATGTCACAAGGTTACGCAAACATGACATGGGGCCTCAAAGGTAGACACAAACATTAATTTTCAGGTCTGTGGTATCAAAGGAAATAATGAAACACAAACACTACCTAACAATTTAGACTTGCTTSTTTAACAAAAATCAGCTGAACAGCAAATATTTTAAGCATTTGTTTCAGATAATATGATAATATGTAACAAATACAATTTATACTGTAAGAGAGTATGTACTAAAAGCGGATATAGACACAGAGTAAAATGAGTTTTAAAAAGGTCAGTCACTTGAAATTGGAAAACATTTGTCACAACRTCAAACACAAGCCAACCACAACCAGCAGGCAGCACCAACACACAGAATCAGATGAGCTCTTAATGCAGCACAGCCTATTAGGAGATCCCAGCAGCTACCTTCTGCTGTACAGTTGTGGTCACAAGCCATCTGAAGGATGTAAAACATCTCAGAATCCTCTACGCCGTCTTGCAAAAAATCCAACCCAACAGAATAATCCACAGAAAAGGAGGAAAGCAATGAAAGAGCACAAAGACAGAGAGAAGAAAAAGAGAAGTGTCAGTCAGACATTGATTAGAAGGAAAACAGGCAGGGAGAGGAGGTGAACATTTTCAGAAAGAGTTGTTTCAAATCTCATGCACAATAACTGTTGTAAGTGAAAAGAGCCATTTAGGACACTAAAAACCAGTACTTATTTAAACGTAAAAAAGGAAATGTTGTATAATGAAGCTCAAAAATCTAGGGAAAGTATCTATAAATTATTAAGGGTTTTAGCTACTCTAAATAGAAAGATACACTAAGTACACGAGCAGTGACTGAGAAAAAAAGAGTTTTCAGATCAGTAAGTGACCCAAGTATGAGAAGAGGTATACACAATTTTATATCCAGAGTTGTCATAAAACACAAAATAAAATACTTTTAATGGAAACGTTATCAATATTTAACATTGCTGTCATGTTTTTTTTTCTATTTGTAAAATTACTGCAGATAAGATCAGAAAATAATCTAAGTGTCACTAATTTTGATTTTATTTAAGTGCCAAACAATGTGAGAGTTACATTCACTTGGTTAGTTTTAAGGAGTTGTTCTACCTAGAGAGCAATACAACATTCAAACAGCGTGCATGGACACATCAAATATATAAGACAAGCAGTACCTGTGATTTCAAACCACACACGGACATCAGAGGACTCGGTGGCAACGACGCCCACCATGTGGGCCACAGGATCGCTTTCCATGACAGAGAAAATAAAGGGCGACTCCTCGAAGCGCAGAGGTGCCGCATCCGCTGGGACACTAGGTTTAGGAATCCACTCGATGTGCAGACGACAAACGGAGGATTTCTGTGGACGTCCGTTGTCGACTGCTTTAATCTGTCAGTGAAAACAAAAATACACTAAGTGTTATCAAATATTTTTATTATGCATGACTTCTTAGTAGATCATCTCCATGTCTAAAGCTAAAAATGTACTGCACTAGTTTCTGATCATGCTGTAAAATGTGATGTCATTTTCAAATTCAGAATAGAAGTTGCTTTTAAACTTTACAAAATCTTAAAAGTGGCATCTCTGCATCACAATTCCAACATGCTTCATGTGATAAATAATCTCCAACAGGAAAGAATTCCAGCTAGAAAAACAGATCCACCTGCATTTGTTTTCACAAACACATCACACTGATTTCCCAGTAATCCTCAGATAAAACAACTGCATCACTGTGAGACTGTGGCAACACAGACAACAACCAAAATATGGATGTGTGAAGTCACCTCGCTAACCGAGACAAGTGATTCACGGTAACCAAGACACTCAGCAATAAAACCACAGCATGTTAGAAAAAATAAAAACCTTTGTATTACTCTGTTGCAACTGCATTTTGTTGGCTTGTGTTGGGAAAATTAACATTTCAAGATACTTTTACAAGTAGTTTTTCCTCTAAGACTGAATTCACACTGCAGGAAAAAGCAACCCAAAACTGATTTTCTTTTACAAGTTTTTATGATGTAAATAAGTAAAAGAGGTTTTTTTTTTCCAAAATGAGACCCAGTTTTTTATATATGGTGTTAAATCACATACATATCCTGTGAGGAACTAAAGAGAAAAAAGTAATAAAACAGTAAAACAATTAACAGCAATGTGATGCAAAATTTTACAGCTTACTGAGATAGCATTCTGTGATTAGACACTCACCGTAAGAATGTCATATTCTCCAGCAGAGGAGAACTTCTTGGATGACACCAGGCCAGTTTTAGGCTCGATAAAAAACTTGCCAGGTTCGTCTCCCTCCTCGATACTGTAGGAAATCTCAGCATTGGGCCCCACGTCACGATCGGATGCAATAACCCGATACACCGGATCTCTCTTGGTGGCTCTCTCTCTCTCTGGCCTCTCACGCTCCGGGAGTTGGATCTTGTAGATCTTCTCGAGGAACAAGGGTCTGTTGTCATTCTCATCGAGGACCTGGACGATGACCCGGACGGTGGTGGATTTAGGAGGAACGCCATGGTCAGTAATGGTGATCTGAAGAGAAAGAATGGCTATTAGTGTATACAAATTCTAATAATGTATGACTATCATGTTGATCAGTGAATGTCTTTTGACCAATGACACCGGTAGTAACATGTGTACAACACTAATACAGCTGTTTCCCAAATGCAATGCTTTTGCAAAAAAGTGCACATTTTGTACCAGTTAGGTTTCTTTGCTGCACAAATGCAAATTGTGTGAATTGATAAATATTAATTAGATTCCAGAATAAAGTTTTATTCTGTKAAAAGTTCTCTTGATCTAAACGTGTACTGTTTGCACATAATCGTAAAAATTAAAGCTGTGAAACAAACAATGCCTCAGAGCTAATTCATTTAAATTTGATACATTCACTCAGTATATTAGCACCAGGGGCTGCGGTGGCTCAGCGGTCAGCGCTGCTGTCTTGTCATCCTGAGGCTGCAGGTTTGAGCCCAGGTTTGAAGGGCATAAAACAATGTCCAAATATTTTGCGTAAGTTTGCATGCTATGGAGAGCCCTGCAGAGGGGAGCAGCCAAAAAACAAGATTCAGTATATTAGCACTAGATCAGAGGAGCCCAAAGTGGGGCCAAATTTGGCCCACCAAGCCATTTCATTTGGCCCACCAACAATTGCCAAAGTTACAAGGTTGTAACCTRTTATCCTATAGGYAGAAACACAGTATTTCCATTGGTCAAATGACTATATAAAAGGGCTGTAGTGAAGGTAGTTTTCAGTCATGGTGCTGACATATCTTTGATGTATTAGGATTAAACATGAAACATGAACGACAACAAGAAATATTTAGATCAGATTTAAACCCGCATGTAGATTTGCACACTTTATAAGGCCACAAAAACTCATATTTTATCAATTTATGAAATGTCCCATGAGCCTTTGCTACTTGAGCGTATAGAATACTTTCTCCAAGTGCACAGACTAAAACTAAAGAGGACCAGTGCACAGCTTAATCGTTAAAAATAAAGGACTTTACTTTAAAAAGTATTTGTATTTCATGTATTATATAACTGCATTTGGCTCGCAGCCATGGATAGATTTTCATTTTGGCCCCCTCGGGGAAAATGTTTGGGCACCCCTGCACTAGATGCACTTGTGTCTCAAAGAGTTGACAATAAACAATATGACTCATTGTTGTCAAATAATGGTCAGGGGCTTCTCTTTACCCCAGAAGAACAACAAACGGTGTCAAACAGAATCGAAACTGGGGCTTCAATTTAAATTACAACTGTTGTTGGTGACACTGAATCAAGCTTAAATACTGTACATTAGCGTGACTTTGGACAACTGGCTGCACAATCTGTGAAGTGTAATAAAAAAATAAAAGGAGCCACAGGCTGACCTAAAAAAAAACAACTTTTTACTGAGTTCCACTGAAAAACTTGGATCAGGGATTACACATTTAAGGCTCTAAGGGAGTGTAGGATTTTCTAGCTTCAAGCCGAAAAATACATGGATGTAGAACAAATGTCACACTCATTAAAAACCATCTGCTAAGTACTTCCCTRGAAATGGGAGTCCATGGCCAGGCACACACCATTTGGTCCCACACTTTCAATTACTAAAGCGTTGTTTTCGCTTTTCTTGCAGTGTCTGCAGCTGTCCGTGCCGCTCACATGAGCAGAATCAATTAAACAAGATGACAACAAGCTTGAATGTCCCCCTGAGGAGTAATACAGCATCTTTGTGTTTTTCCTGTGCAGTGTCATGAAAGAAATCTCTATAAACAAATGAGATATCAGGCTTTCTGAATTCATGAAACATCAATTTTTTATTCTGTTTGTATTAGGTGGGATTTAAAGAATGTCAATACATATCTTTTTTTACAACGTTGTGAGTAAATTTGGTCTAAAAGGGATTGAAATTACATCTAAGTCTCAATTTAGATGTTAGTTACAAATCTGCATCAAGAGAAGTTTAGGAAAAAATATCTGAACAGCATCAAGATCGAGGATCAAACTGATCATTCTACGAGCTCGGCCTGCTTCAAAACGTTCTGTTTAATATTTTCACCTGTTAGTACAGGATGGAAATCTAAATGTATATAAATGTCATCATATTTAAACCAATTTTATCTGTGTTCAGTTTTCCAGCAAACAAAAATATTAAGATTTAGTYAATTTGTCTGACAGATTTACATTTTAATCATAATATCCCAACAGAAAAGTAAATGAAAAAATACAACGATTCTTGGCCTAATCTCTGTTTTCAAGCTGCATTTTAGTTTTGATTTGTGTTTTTGGTACTTTTGTGTAATTTAGGCTGTTACTTTTACATATTTCTAGTTGTTAAAGGGCTAAACCGTTACAACTAAATTCATTAATAACCTACACCAAGTTTTTCAGGTCCAAATTTGAAATAATTGCACAAGTGAAATACTATCTATAGCTCAGAAGGGCTGAGTCATTAAACAGGTTGAATGCTTTGGGGGACCTGCATGCAGATGGGCTAATAAGAGTCAGGACCCCCCTCTAACGATCCACACCTACAATATACGGAGATTCCGCCCAGCTGTGTCTTTTGAAGAAGTTGTCTTACTTGTTTTTAAATGACAGGCTTGAAAACCTATTAAGCCAATTTATTAAAAATACTAAACCATTTAAGCACTTACTGGTTAATTAATAAAGAAGGCTTGGACAGGATGTAATGTCTGTTAAATAGGCCAGACTGCATGCTGGCAAAGGCTGCAGGCAACAGATGTGAACAGCCCATTTACCTCTGCTTTAACATTACAATGTGTTGCCTACAGTCCCAGGCCTGAATACTCTGCATGTCCTGGCATGTCCCACTTTTGCTATTTACCCACCCCCTCCTTCCGTGGATGAAGGCCTCTGATCTGCTGCTGGAGCCGCCGAGCCCAACAAGAGAAGCTTTGCCTTTTCTGAAATTCCCCCCACTGCTTTTAGCCCCCTTTCTCCCTCTTTCACACAGACACAAGACAGCTACCAACTACCATGTGTCTCATCTTCAAAAGCTAAAGCCCCCACCCCTGCACCTCATCTCGGCATTTGGTGCAAACAATGCAGACACAGCCCCCACGCCACCCTAATTACTCCACATGTTCCATATAACGCCACATGTTTTGGTTCGCCTCCAACAAGTTGTTACGGAAAACTTTAGCAGCAGACAGAATTTTTTGAGCTGTTTCATGAAGATATACAGGAACATAAAAGACTTTCCGATGAGTAAAAAAATTGACCACCTAACAAAATCTTTATAAATTGTAAAAATCTCTCTAAACTTTTAACTGTGGCCATTTAAACTGTGTTAATTTATTAAACCTAACGTATTCTCAAAATGTGCAACACCTAACATATATCAAACCGTCAACTTACCCATTTAAAGGGTTTAAGTCTAAATTTCTAATGAAAGTTTAAARATGCATTTTAAAAATAGAGCTGGAATGTCGATGACAAGAAAATGGGAGTGTTGTTTAAATAAAATCCATTGTATCATTTAATGTGGTTATTTGATGTTTTTAAGACATTTAGTTAAAACAGACAACCAAACATTCAGAGACTCAGCTTAAGCAGAAAATTGCTCTTTTAATAAAGGATTTAAAACCTTCTGTTCACCAACATGCTGGACAAATCAATTCCAGATCAACAGCAAACTACTGGGTGGATTAGTTTAAAGTTTTTGACCTTGATGTCTAATGTGATTTAGCAGTAAACTTTGAGCTGTTTCTTGGTGTATAGACAAATGATTAGAAGAAAAAAGCTCACAGCCTTAATGAAAAAAGACACAAAACTCACATTTAAAAAAAAAATAAAACACCAAAGGTATTTTTGCGAAACCTCAAAGTTGCTTATTTCATTCCCATTATTCCTTTTTTTTTTTTTTTGAGTTGTTCTCACCTTATTTTTAATCAATACTTGTTTTCACTTGGGCAAGATTACTATGTTGATGTGTGCTTTTCATTTCATGAAAGATGATTACKTTTGTAATGTGATATATGTACGATGTATGATACAACTTTTTTTATATGTCTTATGAGCTTATTCTGTGACAAAATGTGTGGCTAATAAAAATGTTATACTTTGTTTGTCTTGTGAGCATTTGTTTTGTGAGCTTATGTCAGGGACTTGTCTATCTCAGATGAAGGAAGGATTAGTTTTCCCTCATTCACCATCTTTATCCCTATCATTTACTCTTTGGCCTGTAATGCTGTTGGTGCAGACAAATGTAAAAACAGAGAGTGAAATATGATACAACTTTAGCACTTGAGGCGGCGGCACTAACTGTCACCCAGAGATCATTGGATGGTGCAATATCTAACAATAATTAAAAGGTGATCAATCTGCTCCCTGTCAGCCTCAGAAATACAATTAAAAGAGCTATTATCAACCTTGGCTCCGTGGTGTGAATGAGGAACGGAAGCGTCGAGAAGGGAGTGAGCTGAGCTCAATTAAATCCCACAAGTTTAGACATTGGCCTGATGGTATGACAGCAGTTTCCTGTCTCGGCCTGCGCCATCCATGAGACGGAACATTGGGAAAGAACAAAGGAACAGTCACCAGGCTCTCCCCCCACACACACACCTCTCCCTCTAAATTCATCCGGAAATCAGTGGGAGAAATTATCCCAAAAAGGCCATTCGTCCATAGACACAAGACTTTTAAGTTGTCAGTGTGTGCCAGCCTAAATGCCAAACCTCAAAAACAGAAAAGCTCTAGTTCCCACTGAATATGTTGACCTTTTAATTTAGAATCCTGATTTGTATGTTGCAAATTTATCTTCACACTAATTACGTTTGAACTGAATTATTTTCTGCTAAGAAAAAAATAATACATCTTGGTTACTTCTCAACTGAAAAACCTTWAAAAAAATAAAGCACTTACCTCAAGTATGTGCTCATCCTGTTGCTCCCTGTCTAGTTTTCTTGAAGTGGTTGTAACCAGACCTGTTGACAACAACCAAGATAAATTAGGTTAATTAAAAATAAGAGCAAACAATTACTCAGTTATATACAAACAAAGAAAACAAAATCTAAAACAGATGTGTCAGTCCAAAACCCAGAATATTCAGTAATTAGACAACAGTGTAAATGAGAGGAAAAAAATGTGTAAAAAATTCTGCTGTGTTTTTAAGGTACTTCAGACACAGTATCTTTTTTTTTTTTTTTTTTGCTAGAATAGTGCTGGAAAGCAAGTGATCCCAGTCCGGCAACTTTTAAAAACACAGTTATAGCACAGTGAGGCGGTACAGAGCATTGAATGAAGTCAACAATAGTGTGTAGGCTAAAGTATTCTGAATCCTGATGGTTATCTCTTCAGTAAACCATGAGTAAAATGACTTTTATCTGGGGTTGTAGTTTGCCTTTGGTCCCCCACACTGCCAGAGAGACCTCCGTACTGTTAAACATATGTGAAATATCACAAAGATCTGCAAATAGTAACCAAACAACAGTGTAGCCTTTACACTCTACTTTTAGGTTCTCCACAAGCTGAATAAACAGATGGCCAAGTCAGACATCAGCCACAAGCACAAGTAMTTTATATAAAACAGAAAGGAGTTTTCAGAAAATATCCTGTTGTCAGTTAAATGGTCTTTTTTAAGCAGCCCGATTGATGTYGAGTGACGAAGTGAACACTGACTGACAACAGTAAATATGAAACAAGTTGAAATCCTCAGTTCCAGGCTAATGCAGCTTTGCACCACACTCACAAACAAGGCCAGAACAGTTGAGCAACAGAGAGGGAGGTCTGTGCTACAATTCTACATTATAGGCAGCATTCTGCTCCATCACTCCCAGAGTAATTGCAACTTTGCAGACACTTGAGTGTAGAGTAGATATGCCAACTTAAACCACTCAAGAGTTTTCTGCTAGCCACACTGCTTCTGATTAACATAGGCAGCAAAGGATTTCGGAAACCCAAACCCATCAATGGCACATATGCCTGCAACAAGAATAGCAGGCCACRACTTCTGGGTCCACAGAAATAGACATTCCCCCCGCTAGCGCTGAGATTCAGGGATAAGACTGGGGCACTTTTGCTCCCTTCTTTTTTATTTTTTTAATCCTCTTCTTCATAGCTTTATATAATCTTCACAGTGAACTGCAAAGTTGTAAGCCGCCCTTTGTTTGCTCAGAAAAATTGAATTCCTGAAGGTGCATCTCATATTTTTGATCTACTTGCCAATCACGCTTACTCAAACATGAATGAAAAAAAAAAGAAAAAGAAAATAAAACATACTTCAGGACCATAAGCTATGCTTGATTGAAAAAGATGTTCCAGCGCTGATGCTGCAAATGAAGTTAAATACATTTTTTGTGTTCTGCAGGAATTATTTTGTGCTGTGCTGCATGTCGCTTCAAACCTCAGCGTGGTTTACATGAGAAAGCATTATCATGAAAACAAATAGTTCTGCTGTGCCACATCAAAACAGGCCACACTGACCAATTATTCATGTGCKTCGGCAAGGCCAGCGATGATGGATGATAATGTTTTTAAGCTCCCCTGCGAGCTGTGTTAGGCAACTAATAAACATGGATTATATAGCAGAATACTGATGACAATATTAGACACACCAAGTCTTCATGTCAAATATATTATTTATCATCAAATCAGCTGCTTAATCAAAGATGGGCTAAGACTCACTCAATGGGAGCAACAAAACCTCAGCAAAACCTACTGAATAATATCAAAAAAAATCTTATAAGCCAATAAACAATTAACAATTTAAAACAAATAAATACAGTTTTAGATCTTTCTTTTACAAGAGCAAGTGGAAACTTGTAGATCTCGGACACAATTTACACTGCAGTGCTGAAGAAACAAATCCTCTAGGAGATGCTTTAATGACACAGGTTTGAATAATTTCCTTTAGTTTACTGTTGCAGTATTGAAGAAAATCAGCTTGTATTTAATGGACAAAATCTAGCAAGCAAATTGATGATAAACAAGAATTGAAAAGTCATTAGGGCATTTTGAAATTCTGGTTAATAGACTGGGATGGTACTAAATCATAATTTTCATCCATCTGTAGTAGTGATCAATTTCCTGTGATCAATAAATTTAGCTCAAAAACTTTGAGTTGCTTTGGGGCAAAGTAGTTAAGAATTTTAATAGATCATAAAACCAGCCGCAGTCTTAGGGTTTTGTATAAGTAAAGCGATTTTATGCACAAGCTGTAACTAAGAAATAGCTAAAAGAATATAAGTCGTTTAATTGAAATCAAGCTGATAAACTAGGTTGTGTAGTTTTGTCAGACAGAGGCAGTAAAGCCCATTGCCTGTTGCTGTAATTTGAAGTAGTTGTCTAAACAAGAAATCAGTGCTAAATTTTGTGGACATCCACAATAAAAATTAAGAGAACTCTGCTGTTGTTGATAGGTAGGCTAAATTTGCCTTCATTTAATTATATGACAGCAGAGGCATTGCATATTTGTTCAGCAGCTGTGGTTGTAATTATATTATGGTTTTATGCAAATGTGCTTCAGAGCATGTATAAGCTCATATCTCCATTATTCAAGAGGCTGAAGTTTATTGCTCATTAATGCTTATTGGTAATTGCATCGTTGCCAAATAATAAGAAAGCTTTGGGAAGTATCTGCTGCACAGGTYATATGATAGATGCTATGTTTACCTAGCATTCTTTATATATCTTTTTTACACAAATTGAAGTGTTGGGTGAACTGAACTGGAAAAACAACTTCAATCTCATTCCAAGCCAGATAAGTTCAGCTTTTCTTTCTTTGTCTACATCATAGCTGAAAATGAGCTAGTCAGTCAAACCAATTACAATTTTAGCTTGTTTTAAGCTTTTTGAGGTTTGTTTTTTTTTTAAGTAGAACACCTGCTATACTATTAATATTAACCTCTATTTAATCAGACAAATCCCACTCAGACTGCTGATCTCCACAGAGAAAGCCCCCAGGTTCCAACTGGGAATCAAACCCAGAACCTTCTTGATGTGAGGCAACAATGCTAAGGATTTAGCCACCGTACTATAATGAAATTTGAAATGAAAATGTACATCTGCTGGGTAAAACTAGTTTGATGAGTGGTTTTGTTGGCTCCCCTTTCATTTTGTTTGTCACATTCTCAGCTTACTAAACTTACTTACTGATTATATCTGATTTCCACTTGAATATCCAAGAAGAAAATAATCACAATCAGGCTTTTAAAGATGGTAATTTCCCTTCATTTATCACAATAGGAGTCAACCAGGAACAGACCCACAACTTTGTTGGCTCTGCAGATGTAAATCAGTGGAGGTACATACCTTTCTGTCACTACCTAAAGATTAAGGAACAGTAAAATGACTGGTTAGTGAGCCAGAGCTGACCAAAGAAGAACACACAAACTTACAAAGACTCACAAGCACACACACCCACACACACACATACACACACAGGCATGGGCTGTGCTGGGCCGACAGTAATTACAGCCATGCCGTTTTGAGATTGGGAGTAAAACAACAGCACAGTGGCATTCTCAGCACTACAACAACTGCTTCAAAATGGAGACCTGAGGGGAATTCAGGGGTTTGGAGGATTGTTGGTGTGTTTCATTCTTGGACACTGTTGCTGCGATTAGCTAACTTTAGTGATACAATGTAGTTATGAGACATAAAATAAAACTGAAACTGTTGTTAAACTAATTTAAAAAATTCTAATCCAATCTACATTTTGAAGAACTAGTGGGTATTCGTAGGAATCGTTTGGCCCCTTTTTAGTGAAAAGTTCTCCAAAATGCARCTGAATAGGACAAGCTGACAAGCCTTTATTAAACAAGAAGGCAGTGTTTGACAGGTCATTTCAAAAGTCTGTGTAATTCAATCCTCTCTAAAATTAAACAGATTTTAAGAAGAAAAAAAACTCCTTCAGGGCTATATGCAAACACAGCTAAGACAAAAATTATTATAAACACAAAGACTGTGCAAATCTGCATGACTGAAGAGGTGAAGAAATATGGTCCATGCTGACAGAATGCGAATAAAAAGTGCCTACAAATATTTTCCTGTATCAGAAAAACAAAAGGTTGTGTTTGCCTATTTTACTAACTCTAACCCTAAACTTCCAGCAGAGTAAACATTTTGTGATTTAAACACAAAGGTTTAATGTTTTTATTTTGCAGTCATAAAAATGTATTCAAATACTAAAGAAAAAGAAAAGAGGCACTGTAATACTAACAGAGGGACACTTTATTAAAAGACTGAATTCCAGATTGGATTCATTTCAAAGATACCGTAATATTTTAAATCCTAATCAAATGAGCTTTTATGGTCCCTCTTGAAAGCTTTAAAAGAAAAATCTGCACTAGTTCATCGCCATTATTCTTTTCTATTAATCTCCTCTGAGAGCTGTAAAAAGTGTTTGCTGTCAAATCACCGGAAATATCAGGAAGTTGTTGAAAGTATCTGTTTCCTATCTCACTTCCCCTGATAGTGGTTGGGGCTTTGGTAAACCACTGATAACACCAGTATGTGTGTGCTTCTCTTCTAGACCAAGAAAGATTTAGTAAAAGTTGATGTGAAAGACAATTTAAGATTTCTGGTTTTGATTGTTTTCCACTTTTTTATTTGGTGCTAACAATGACAAGATCAAAAAACCTGTATGTTACCTATACATTACTACAATTTGTACCCTAAAGGTACTAAAAGAAAAGCAATAAAATGTAATGTTTATCAATGTATTGAAAGGTTTAGGACAAGAAAATGTACCCTTGTTAATTCAATTAGGCTGAACTGTTTAATTAAAAGCAACCACTAAAGCCCCTTCTCCATGAGCACAGTTGCTCATGGAGAAGCATATAGTTCATGGAGAACTGAACCAAACCTCATATTCGGTTTGGTTCAGTTCTGTTTGGTCCTGCTCAGGTGTGTGTGTGTCTCCATCTCAGTGTGTCCCTCACTCTGTGGGCGTGGTTATTGGCAGACCATCCACAGCGGCTTCAAC